TTCTGCTCGCTATGGCGCCACAATTCCTTAGTGACTTCACTACCTACTTCAGCTTTGCAAACGGCACCGCCCCAGGGGCTGGCATCTGTAGTGTACAGAAAAGGGGAGTGGAACACCCTCAGGTCGCTGTGGGCCATCGGAGCGAGCATGGAAATCATCTGCAGCTCATTCAAGGATTGTCTGGATAAACAAAAAATCTCATGTTTGGGTCGTCCCTGTCCATCTTTGAAGACAGCATCCAGAACAGAAAATAAGACCCGTCGGAAAAGTAAAGCATGAACCCAACATCCTAGTATGATAGAAAGCAGGTGCGGTGTGCAAGTACCAAGTCCTACAACCCTCATGGTTAGAGCTGCCAATACAGATAACCGATCTCGGGGTGCACTTGCAATGCCACGGTCCCCATCAAAATCACAACCAAGAGTGGTGGTTTGCAGACAGTTGCGTCTGCGTTTTTTCTCCTGCTGAATCAAGCCAACCCTTTGATAAGCTACTTCTGAAGCTTTGAATACTTGGGTGTCCCTGAGTTCGGGGCGAAGCTTGAAAGCCTCTCGGTTCACCCTTTGAAGAGACACATGATCATCGATGGCTAGTAACTCAATGAAATCACCCCGTGGAACCGGAAACCGATACCGAAGGACCTCGGTGGGAATCATAGACCCGCAGTATTGTCTCAAAACTTCAGCATGAGCCGCCTGGGCAATCTCAACAGCTAAGTTATCTCCCATAGCCAAGGTATTGAGGGAAATGAGTACATGCTCCGAGTCCCAAAACCGTGATTCAAAACACTTCAGGTGGGAAACTTCATGAGGCTTGAATCGAACGCGTATACAATTCCTAAGGGCTCTGGCACGACTGATCTGGAAAGTATAGTAAAAATCGGTAAGGTCATCAGCATTAACCCTAAAAACATCTTCGGGTCCTAGGTGCAATAGTCCCAGCATGGCGCCAGGGGCCAGACTTTTAGTGGCCTCACTAATGGTGTGCATCCTACTGTTTATGGCCTTAGGGTTAATGATAAGCCTGTCGAATTCACTATCTTTGGGAACACAAAATAGTCCGACAGCTTCGTGCCAATCTTTTTCTTTAGAATCAAATAACCGACAAGCCCCGAGGTCATCCCATTTAGTAGCAAGTTTAAGGAGTTCATGTTTGTCACAAAAAACCTTACCGGGGATACTTCGGGGCCAATTAGTTTCGGGGATTCTAAGGTTTCAGGATCCTCATAGGCTGCGCGAACCAGGGGGTTCGCTAAGAAGGGTTTCGGGTCGAAACTAGGCGGATTCTTCCATTTTACTCTGTCGGCAATGACAGGTCGAGATCCGCTGTCAGGATCACTGCTTCGAGCAACCCCTTCAAATGAGCATTGATGCTCTGGCTGGGCATGACGGCTGGAAACCCACCCTTGACTCTCATAGCACGGCTCGGCCGGAGGGCCACCAAGGTGCCGGGTTTCATCAGCTGGGTTATATTGTGAGATCTTAGAATGGAGATGTTCGAACATCGTTGCAAGGTCCTGCAACCCCAAGCACTGGGGGAGTTCCTGGATTTGATTAATTACACCCTGAAATTTCTCATGAGCCCTCCCCAGATCATCGGCAGAAAAGTCAGCAGCGCAAAGAAAATGAGTGATCTTTGCCTCCAGTCTTTCAAGGATCTGGTGTTGCTGATCGCTAATTACACTACCAAGCCTAGCATTCTTAGGAGCTACCAGGGGATGCCCCAGGGTCTCCCAATTCAAGCTGGCCACAAGCAGTTGCAAAACGCGGGCTCTGGTCTCCAAGAAGCGCTTCCGCCGACGACGGCGAATGCCAGGGTGCTTGCAACCCGACCAACTCCACCTAGGTGGGGGCACAGGCCAAAGGGGTGGTGCAGGACCGCCCTGTACAGTGCAGACTTCCATGGGCTTCAGGCTAGATCGGGCAAAATGGCCTAAAGCAGTATGGCTATTGAAAAAACTCCTACAAACATTCTGCATGATTTTAATTACGGAGAGGGAAGAAGAAGTGCCACTAAGATCAGGATAAAGGTCATCCCCGAGGGAGGTATTAGAACAATGATCCCATTTATCATTATCGTCACCCGGGGACTTACCTCCTAACTTATTATGACACTGATGCAAGACACTGGAAGCATCAGCACTGCTCACGGTGGCAGCACTGGGAAGTTGGCTGGAGACTGCAGTCACGCCTCCGAGTCCTTCGCATCGGCTTCGTTCCCTTTCCCCTTGCCTTTCGGGTTCTTCTTTTTGGGTGTTTTGGTCTTTGTGCTGGGCTTGTCTGACTCCGGATCTGCATCCGGCAGGGCCCCGGGCTTCTTCTTGCCAACCTGCTCCATCCGGCTTTCCATAAAGTCCAAATCCCGGAGGTACGCCAAATTGGCGCTGACCCACACTGGGTTGGCCAACCGGCTGAATGGTTTCAGCCCTGGCTTCTTGCGGTGGGAGAAGTGAACCTGGTGATTGGGTTCGGCTAGTCCTGTCAATAACCAGCCTAACTGTAACTTTCCTTGGTCTAGGGCCACCTGTTCTATGAACATGAGCATGATCCCTAGAAACCCCAGCATCTCCTGGTTCTGAGACTGGAAAGCCACTGCCCAACCCTCCGCGGCCAGAGTTGCCACATGACAGAGCAGTCGATGATCTGCTAAGGGTATTCGCCGCTCGATGTAGCGCCGCATCACCGACCCATCCTCGCGACTGCTCTCCATGCCAAGCTCGGTCAGCGCGTTCTTGCGGACCGCTGACGCCACCATGGTGAGATCCGTGGTCGCCCGGCAGTAGGCTTCTCTCGCGATGCATCCCTTGACGCCTGCGGAGCTGCTGCCGCTTGCGTTGTCCGGGCCGGCCAGGGCGCCCAGCACTGGATCGCTGGGCTTGCTGCCGATCAGCTTCTGGAGCAGGATAGCATTCTGCTGCAGCTGCGACACCAATAGATGAGACAAAGCCCCACCGCCCAGCTGCAGGTCTTCGAGAGGCGCCAGATCTGGCTCCGCAGCTTCCTTCTCTATCTCGGCCTGAAGCCCATCCTGAGTTGCTGCAATGGTCGCGGGATCTAGACCGCGGCGCTGCTCGTGTCGACCAGTGCGCGGCGGCGGATTGCCCGCCATACTCACCAGCTTGCCCATCTCGGTTGCAGCCACTGAACCAGTTCTGTTGGCCTTGAACAACGCGGGAGTCTTGCCATAGGTCTCGACAGTGCGCTGAGGAGGAAGAGCTGTCTTGGGCTGAGCACGGGCGGCTGCTAGTTCTGCTTCCAAGGTGCGGATCCGCTCCTGGAGCTCCTCGCTCGCAGCCGGAGGAGTGGGGCAAGGGTCCCCGTCGATGTCCTCCTCTTCGGCTGTTGCATACTCCTGGGCCGTCTCTTCTGCCATTCCTGACAGCACCCAAGCGGCCGCCAGATCCAGAGCCTGCTGAGCATGCGGTCGCCCCTTTTCCTCTCCCACTGCGAAGCCCAGGAAGGTGGCCTGTTTCAAAGCCTGACCTCGCAGAGCAGTCAAAGGGGTGAATTGTCCAGCGCAACCCCAACCGAGGTCGGCTAACACTGCCGGGGCTTCCCCAAGGGCTCGACCTCGCTGAGTGAGCACCTGCACAGCACAGTCGGAGAACATGGGCTCTTCGGAGAGGAGGCAGGCCTGTTGCAAAGCCTGACGCAAATCTTCTTCTGCGGCACAAATGACCATGAACCCATTGGCTCGAGTTCTCACCAGATGAAACAGCCCCCAATGAGGATGCCCTTCTGGATCTGTTCCAAGGGAAAGCATCAAAACTGGTAGAGCTCTTGGTGGATCGATGCTGCCGGCCAGCTATACAATGCCAACAGCCGTCATGCCTGCCGTCAGGGCAGACGCGGAGGCCATGGTCGGCCTGCACCAACCAGGTACGCCTCGATCTCCGCTTGAGTCGCGAAGCCGTGGCTGATTCCCTCAGAATAGAACTCACCGAGCGAGTTCTTGACGAGATCGATATACTTGCTGTAATCAGGGGTCCAAAACCCTTCAAGATATTGGGGGCACCTCAAACAAATGTAACAGGAGTTCCTAAAAGGAGTTGAATCACTGGCACCAGTTTGATCAGGAAAAACGTGTCCCTCCAGCCCGTAGCGACCCACCACACCAGCTTTGAAGGCTCGTCCAAGGCGAGCTTGAGGAGACCAGGTGATGTGGGAAGATCGCAGCCTGGTCAACAAATAGTCCAAAAACCTCACTGGGAGCGCTGCCAATTCCGCAGGGCCCTGAGCAGCCAAAGCACGAGTGCAGAGAGCGCGGCCAACTGGATCGTGGTCCAACACGTACCTAGGCTCAGTGGGTGGCTCAGCAGGACCACTCCTCACACCGCCAGCAGCAGATCCAGTTAGGTATCCACCACCAGCTAGGGGGCGCGCAGTAATAGTGATCTGCAGCCCAGCCAGTTGCACAGTGATCTCCTCCACGTCAGAGGCCCCACCGTTTTGCATCCACTAGGATCGGTACTCTGCCAAACAGTCCAGGCTCTCTCACGAACCGGGGGACTCTGAAGAGAATTGATCAGCGCCCTCAGCACTACCAGACACGATGAGCGGCAAGCAGCTGAAGTGATAAGCAAAGTAGCTACAGCCCCCACCAAACAGCCCAGCAGGAAGGTGCAAAGGATCGCTAGGCAAATGGCACCCCAAGGGATACTGGGACAAGACGAGGGGCTAAAGAGGTAGCGGGACTCTCTGAGGACCTCGCTTACCCAGAATCCTATGCTCATGAACCCACAAGGCTACAAGCCATGTTCACATCTCAACAATTCAAGAGATAGGGAGCCATATGTATGTGTGTCTTGAAGGACATGATTCAAGAGGCTTTGAGGTGGGTACCACATATATATATATATATACACGTATTACAAATAATACGTACTCTAATAGGATCCTAATATGGATGTACAGTATATGCTATTACATAATCCGTACATATTCTAAGTACTAATATACCCAATTTCATAAACCTTCATTGGGGATGAGCAGTCAAGGTACCAAGGAATGGCGCCAAAAAGGCCCTGGCCCACCAAGCAAAGGAAGGTGGGTTTGGCAAAGTAACTTCCTTGGCACTGCCCAGTGGGTCCAGTTGAGCGATGAGAGTTTCATGGGATGAAGGGAGATCTATCAACGTTGGCTCTGGAGATGATGGAAACAATCAACGAATCTCCCAGCAACCGGTAAGAACCCGTGTCAGCGAGTTCTTGTTAATCCTGGAGAAAAAAATGATGATAAAACATCAAAAGTGTCCAGAAATGGGCTCGAAACCACAAGTGTACATGCCAAAAAAAAACACGAAAAAGTGAATCTGGAACTGCGGGATCGTTAGAAACTACTCAATGGCTACAATAGGACCCGTGGAAGATTTTTCCATATATATATATAAATATATGCATATCAATGAATATGTGCATATATATATAATGACCATTGATTGTTACTTAAAATCCCAGTGACTGTCGTCGTCGTCGTCATCATCATCATCATCATCATCATTCATCATTGTTACTATATCATTGTTGTCATCATCACCATTATCAACATCAACATCATCATCCATCAGTGTGACTATATTAGTGTCGTCATCATCACCATTGTCAACATCAACATCATCATCCATCAGTGTTACTATATCATTGTCGTCATCATCACCATTATCAACATCAACATCATCATCCATCAGTGTTACTATATCATTGTTGTCATCATCACCATTATCAACATCAACATCATCATCCATCAGTGTGACTATATTAGTGTCGTCATCATCACCATTATCAACAGCAACATCATCATCAATCAGTGTCACTATATCATTGTCGTCATCATCGCCATTATCAACATCAACATCATCATCCATCAGTGTTACTATATAATTGTCATCATCACCATTACCAACATCAACATCATCATCCATCAGTGTTACTATATCATTGTCGTCATCATCACCATTGTCAACATCAACATCATCATCCATCAGTGTCACTATATCATTGTCATCATCGCCATTATCAACATCAACATCACCATCCATCAGTGTCATTATATCATTGTCATCATCACCATTATCAACATCAACATCATCATCCATCAGTGTTACTATATCATTGTCATCATCACCTTTATCAACATCAACATCATCATCCATCAGTGTCACTATATCGTCCTCTTTAATCTCATCTCCCTGATGGTAGATACCCCCCTAGACCTCGCTTCTGCGTATTGGATCTATCCATTCTGTGTCCCATGAAATGTCTGTCATAGGAAAACAGAGAGGGGATAGGATTTTCTTGGGATTTCCCAAATTAGTGTCAATGTTTGTTGCTGAATAGTAATGGTTTAGAATGGGTTAATGGGTTGTATAAAATTAGGTTAAAAATGGTTTAGTGTCAATATAATCCATGATCAACCCATTTTTAACCCATTCTAACCATTGTTGACTAGTATCATTAGCCATGACTAAATAGTACGAACCAGTATCAACGAGTATCAACCCATTATTAGCCACTATTAGCCATGGCAAACAATTACGAACCCATTGCAAACCTACTATTAACCATTATTAACCATGACTAACTATGACTAACTATTATTAACCACTATTATCCATTACTAACCAGTATTAGCCACAATTTTATTGTCAACTAGTAACTAGTCACCCCATCATTCATCCCTCAAGATGCCCAATTATTAAAAAAAACAGTATCAACAGTATCATTTAGGAATCTAGTATTAACCCTATGATTAACACCTATATTGACCATTACTGGTTGGTGGTTGAGCCTACCCCTCTGAAAAATATGACTTCGTCAGTTGGGATGATGACATTCCCAACTGGAAAGTCATAAAATTCCATGGTTCCAAAGCACCAACCAGATATTGACCATTATAAACATTATAACTACCCTCTGCTAATTTAACATAGCGAACTGGAAAATCACCATTTCATATGGGAAAATCCACTATTTCTATGGGCCATGTTCAATAGCTATGTTAGTCATTACCAGAGCCATCTGGTTATTTAACATAGCCATGGAAAATGGCCCATTTATAGATGGTTTACCTGGGTTTACCTATTCAAAATGGTGATTTTCCATGGCTATGTTAGTCATTACCAGAGGGTAACCCACGAACTCCGTTTCCAAGGCTCCAAGTTTCCTCAGCTCCTCCTTGGCGCCGTCGCAGCCCCGTCGCTTGCTGCCCGGCTCCCAGGTCTTCTCCCGACGCGCTTCGTGCATGAAGACCTGACAAAGGTCGGGTCTAACCCTGGAAATCACGGGTGAATGGGTGAAGAATGCCCTAAAAAGATGGCGCAAAATCATGGTTAATATATATAGAGAGAGAGAGAATCTGGATGAATGGTGAAGAATGGGGAATATTCCACATATAACTAGGGGATACTAGGGGTATACTGGGGTATGATGTCCACTTACTAAATATAATATTATTGTTGGTTGCTAATTTAACGTAGCTATATATGGAAAATAAATCACCATTGTTAAGTTCGGTAAATCCTCATGATTGTCGTATCTCCATGTACTAGTATCTCCCACCTTGATCAACATGGAGGTGAAGATCGGAAAGCTACCAATCATCACGAAGGCCACACGCCAGCCCTGTAATCCGAAGATCGTGGCATGGGACATGGGTGTGCCAATCATTGCCACGGCCATCATGCCCAAGGTGACACATAGCTGAATGTAGCCTCCAACTTTTATGGCAGGTTTTATGGGATTTAATGGGCTTTAATGGGCATTTTTATAAAAATCATCCATGCCAAATCCCAGACTGAAACGATAACCTGGCTGACTTCACGTGAGTTTATTGATGATTCATCCAGAAGTGGATCGGCTCAAATGGATCCAAACATCACGTCTTGATTGGGATAACTTGGGGCTAAACATATACAGATAATTATATATGGTACAGTAATCTTGTACATACAAACGTTGTTTGTCTCAAGAAGAAAAGCATCCATGCACTTTGGCAAACGTCCCACATGTTTGTGCGGTTCACGTCTCTTAAAATCCAATATCCAACCAAAAACCAGACTTCCAAAAATCCAATGATAAACATATACCATACATATACCCAACTTTAGGGCAAAAAAACAACTCCAAAATCGATGAAAACATGGAAGAAAACCGCCAGAGAGGGGCCATAGATCCTCCCGCGGGAGGTCTCCGAGGTGGTGCCCGCCACCAGCCCCACGCACAACGGCTTCAAGCTGGCAAGCATGGCGCCATTCACCACACGCAACAGCAGCATCCAACTGAAGCCGGTGGTAAACGAGAGCATCACGGTGCTTAGGCCCTGGAGAAAGGTGAAGTTTCTAAGAATTGATGAAAAAAAATGCGAGAACAGCACAGCATTGGATGAAGTTGGGTTGAATTGGATGATTTCTAGTTCTTTTTGATGATTCTGTTATATTATATATATATATATATATGTATTATGTATGTATTCATTTATTCTTATCCTATAATTATCCGATCATTTTAGATTGGATTATTTGTAGGATTATTTTGGACAGTATTGGTAAAACTCGAAATTGAAGCCCAGTCTTACCTGTCCTTTTAGGGAATTTCATACATGCTGTCTCTCCTCAACTTTAAGTCTACAGATTTCATCCATGTTCATCCTCCATGTCCAGCCTGGAAAAAGGCTCCAAGGGACAGCAAGGTTTTGCGTCGGATCACTCTCCTGTCTGCCAAGACACCCCAAATCGGCGCAGCCAAAGCTTGTGCCACTGCTTGCGCCAGGGTAAGGACTGACAGATCGGTCAGTCTCAGTCCCAAGTCCTCCTGAAGGGCGTAGTTCACGGCAGGAAGTAGACCTGCATCCATTCCTTCAATCGCACTGATGCAACAAAGCTGTAGGATCATCATGGTAGGAGGCGATTTTTCCTCCTGCAGTCATCATCCCGCCCAGAATCACCAGCTATCCCAACTTAAGGGAGGCTTGTAACCCTGGTTTCGGTTGCAACCCTGGCTGCCATAAATCTACCATGACTGGGAATGGCAAACATAGCACCCATTATCACCCATTTATGGTGATGACTTGGGGTTAAGGTTTATCATTGGGTTTACCACATTAATATACATTAATAAATACTCATTATACTTAATAATTACTCATTGATTATACCCCCCCTTTTTTCAGCTCAACGCTTTCATTGAAAAATCCTCATTTTATTGACAGTCCTCGACTTTCTCATCCGAATCCGACAGGCCCGACAGGCCCGAGCGGTCTCCATTCTTCAACGGCACTCTCCGCGACATCGCCGCGGGGGACTCCGGGCGCTGTTGTCCTCGGCACCGTTTTTGATTTTTTTCGAGCCAATGGCTACGGGGCTACGCCACACTTCGACGGAAAAAACAAAAGTGTTCTGTTTCAGATCCGGATAGAACGTGTGTCATCTTAAAATATGGATATATGTATATACATATATTATATAGTTATATATATATATAAAGGTCAATGATCATATATCATCTTTCTTGTCTTCAACATTTCTCATCATCTGGGGCTTTCCGACCACGGGGGTCACAAATCCACAGGTCCTCTGGTGGCGCAGCTCCTGAGTCGACCATTCCACCAAGAGATCAATGAAGCTCTGGGAAATGTCACAAAAATGGTGGGTATTTTTTTGGTGAATTTTGCCAAGAACTCATCATGATGATTGAAATGCAATAAACCCATCCTCTTCATATGAAATATGACTAATCCTCCAACCCAAAGGAGACCCTGGTGAAATGCATCGAATCTATTCATCGGACCATAGGGGACTCATATGGGGGGTGCTTCACTGAAAATTGGCTGCTCGTTCTTGATCTTTTGGAGCTTCGAAAGCCATTTTGATCCACGGCCAAGTGAGCTATCCCAAAATTCAGGACCAAACCACACAAAGGTCTGTCTGAAAATGGGCTATCCCCCATTTTATTCACTGGGCTTTTCAGTACATATATGCCCCCATGTTCAATGATTATGCAATGGATTCTTGGTGGATTTTCCCATGGCTCCAAGTTACTCCCGCAGGCGGCAGCTAAGACTCGCACGGCACCATTCATGGTCTTCGCACGTCACGCGGCCGCGCATTGAAAAACACCCCAGATCTGTTGCACTACTGTGGAGATCTGATCCGCAACAAACTTGCCAAACATGACTGGTTGGTGGTTGAGCCACCCGTCTGAAAAATGATGGACTTCGTCAGTTGGGCTCATTCTTCTCAATATATGGGAAAATAAAATTCCATGGTTCCAAACCACCAACCAGATGAATTTCTTCAACCTGCAAAAAGTGATCAATAAAAGCTGGTGCATCGCAGGTGATAAATGCAATTAGTGGGGAATTGCCGACCATGAAGCTGGAACCATTCAACAAGCTGCAGCATTTAGGCAGCCCCACAATAGATTGCATCAAAGCTGGCAAACCAGGCATATCTTCTGGCTACATGGAAGATCATGGAAGTGCACAATGAATATTGAACAAAAAGTCCTTCCGCAGTTATATGTAATCATTATATATATATATACACATATGCGTTGACAGATATATATATATATGTATATATATATATACGTATTATATTTATATATAGTTGTTATATGTTATTATATAGTTATATATATAGTTATTTTATGTTATTATATATATATATTATATAGCTATATATATAATTGTATTTACATGCAAATTCTAGATAAGAATCTATATATTAATTATATAGATATATTATGTGTTTATACTCATTATTGATCTTTGAATGCCTATTTAACTATAATTATATCAATATCTATAAATGTCTCGCCAACAGAGGTGCGGTCCCTGGCCGGCGCGTACCGCGGCATGGCCGCGCTTCGCCGTGGAGGTGCTCCACTGGCATGTTGGACACATCCCGGCCCTTTTTTTTAAAAATGTGGAAAGCTCGCCGTTTCAGAAACTTCTGTTGATATATAGTTAATGATATAATTATAGTAAATGGATATCAGTTAATGGATGATAGTTAACATGATAACTGTGGATGCTGTTTGAAACGGATCTTGATGGGGCAACATGTCCAAACAATCCACTGAGAAAAAGTCAGAGTGTCCAATGTGTCCAAAATCCAAAATCCAAAGTCCATGTATAGTAGTTGGTTAATTCCCATGAACCATGGATTATGCTAATCATCAAGTTCATGGATTATGATACCCTCTGGTCAAAAAAAACATGGCTATGGAAATTTGCCCATTTACAGCATTTACAGATGATTTTCCCAGCTATAAACCTCCATTTACTGTAATTATAAGGAATTTTCCAGTTCGCTATGTTAGTCATAACCAGATGGTAATCATGGATATGATTTAACCAGATGGTAATCATCATGGATATGATTGATATATGATTGATATGATCATGGATAAGTTCGATTGGTTCCAGGGGGACGACCCGTTTCTCCCGTTTATGAGTTCGCCAAGTTGACAAAAAATCACTTGGTTAACTCTTGGGTTTGTGGGGGATACGACAAACTCGTATTCATGGGTTGAAAAAACCAACAAACATCACTGGGGTGGTGTTTCACCATATAAGTGTAGTGTGCTTTTCCAAGTATTTCACCATGTTTTATCAACTATATCCCATCTTTTGATACTTCAAACCCCTCTGAATGATGTTTGATAAATCAACTATAAAAAAAAAAACAACTTAAATTTCTAAATCCCCTAGTTTCCCTTTATTTGTCAGAGCTGCTGGTAAAAACACTACCGTTATATAATCTGATCATCAACAGGGCTGGACCCAGATCCGCCACTGTCCCACACTTCGCACCCTCCAGCACCCCATCTTGGCATCGGAGGGGCACCCCTCGCCTAGGGCAAGGTGGATAGCTGGGAAAATCATCGAACTATTGCTAGGGAATTTGCGATTGCTATGTTTGATTCTGGAGGGTGAGTGCGTTTATAACATTTAGAACCAGGTGAATTCTATGGTTTATGGTAGAGACATATAATTATAGTATAGTTGATGGGCGTTATAAACCAACTGATAACACTTGGGGGCACCTTGCAAATATATCCAGCAACAAATCCCTGAAAGCGCGCTGTCTATCATGAAATATCTATGTACTGTAATATTTTGATATCTGGGGAGTGGTCTCTTCAAACTAAGTCTGGGAATAACAAAACCAACTATCGTTGTTGCAGATGTTTACGAGAATTGGGACGGCCAAATATCAAGTTGGCAACTCTGGAGGAACAACGATGTCGCTGTGGGTCCAACTAGTAGAGATACCACAATGGAATCGGTTGCTGCCCCGTTGAGGTGCTCACAGCCCGGATGGCTTGCCGGAAGGATTTACCTGGGCGCGTTTAGTGATGGCGATGATGACCGAAAGGAAGGGATATTATATGATATACTGATATACATATATATATAACCAACTGTATCATACTATGTATATATATATATATCCAAGGTGGGTTTGTCTTAAGGTGAATACCATTAGAACGGAGAGCATGATGATAATCCACTGAATCTGGGGGTGTTCCGAAGTTCCCCTAGGTTTTGAGACAACCCCAGGTTGTCTTGGAAGTTAGAATCATATAATTATATAACCACCCCGTGATGTGTCAGACCATTTCATCCTAAACTTGTCTGATGGCGTAAGGTTCCTACATCAGCTGCCATTGTCTTTCCTTGCCGCCCAAGATGCTTTCTTCCCGCCAGTGAGAGTTCAAGGGCCTCGACCGTGGTGGCGGATGCTGGAGAATGAACTGGCAAACGTTCAAGCTCCAACCAACTGGTTGCAACACACAAAATTGAATCGGGGTTACTCCATCAAAAATTGATCCAAACAATGTACCAAAGGTCCACTAGAAAACCATAAAAAACCATTAAAAGAACCATTAGAATCCCATAAGAATCCATTAAATCACCATAAAATCCCATAAAATCCCATAAAATCCCATGAAAAAAAACTATTAGAATCCCATATTCCTGTCTCCTGCCATGGCTGGGCTTCCCTGGCTGCTGTCCACACAGTGGCCCGGGCGCTCCCTCGAGTGAACCAGGATCCCAAAGATAGATGAATATTGAATAGGTATAATGTGGTTAAAACAATGTCATAAACCATCCATTTGGGAGTGTTAAACATAGCATCTATAAAAATGGTGAAATTGAGGATGGTTTATTATTGTTTTACCAACATATTATACCTATTCCCATCCCCCTAATGTTAAACACACACACACACAAAATGGTCCCAATAAAATGTGGAAATTCCTACTAAACCATGGTTTCGAAACCGGGGTGTTTTTTTAGGGGGAAGGGATTAGGTACAGATGAATTACCAGATACTGTGTCTTTAAACTGTTCATCTATGATTTTCACCGATGTTTTGATTGGATGAATAGCTTACATGTATTTGTGCATACATAGATGTAAATACATATCATATCTACATATGATATATCTCAGAGCCATGAAAAATACCCATATCCTATCTCATAATACGGCTTGCTTCGTAAATATTCCTACGATGGGTGAGTTCATAATCCCCACAAGACCAGTTAGTAGAACCCCCTTGTTGTTCACCGATCAACATGATCAACATAGATGCGGATTACTAAGACCCTAGATTAAACATACAAAAAGATGTGGAAAGCCCATGGTTTCTGTAGGAAAATAGATGAAATTCGTCTACAAACGCTTGATTTTCCACATTTTTTTTCTTATTTTTGTATGTTTACCCTAGGATATATCTCACATTGGCCATGATGGCTGGACCATTTCTATTACCACAAGCAATGGATCCCGGTTTGTAAAGATTCCTGGAGCACATAGAATATAGAAAGCATTCAAAAAAAACACGAAAATTGGGATATCTTTGAACATTCCATATTCATCCATATTCTATCTACTTCAGGATGATTATATATAGTAAGCCCCAAAAAATAGTATGAAACGTCATTTATCACTACTGTTTATCTATAGATAGTAGGATCTTACTTTTCTGCAACTTCACTTGGGGGTTGCTCTCTCTGTCTGTACATATATATATATATATATATACCGTATATATACTAGATATACCAGTTACCTCCATTTATAGGTTCATATAGATAATGTATATCATGGTTTCTTCTGCTGGGAAACAAACCCTAAACCCTCTGGTCAATCCCTGAGGATGCCGACGCGACGTCCTTTCCTGATGGAAATCGCCATGGTTCATATAGGTACTCCCTGGTAAACTAACAGAACTATTGAAAATTGCCATAGAAATAGTGGATTTACCCATGAATAG